TACTGAAACCAGTATCCCATGGCAAACTGGAGCTGCCTGGTGCATCACTTAGGGTTCACTATGGGTGTTTGATTTACTCCTGGAACAGGAGCAAAACCAGGACTCACAGCAAATGGTTAACCTGCACAGAGCTCCTCTTCTGTCCAAATCAATTTCCTTCAAATGTTGCAAACTTTGGGACAGCTGCATAATACAGGTTTTTATGTAAAAGAAATTGCTGAAAGCTCTCCCAGCTTTGATGCTTTCCACTGGCCCTGTCAGCCTACACTGACACCTGTGTAAAGGAGTAAAATGACAAATATCTAGAATTTCTACCTTCTCACTGCGTGAGATTTGCCAGGTCTGTGTCAGGAGAAGGGCTGTACGCATGGTTTCTTTGTAGCTGCATACGGCAACTACTACGCAATGGAATTTCACTTAAAAGTAGTGACATACTGGATGCGCTGGGAGCCCAGCAGGTGTGCGGGTGCTGAGCAGGACCGTGCTGCAGGTCACAGCCCCACCGCTGCCCCCACGACTGCACACCGAGGAGCTGGTTACTGATTGCCAGCAAACCTGGAGGAGCTGCCGCTCTGCAAACGCCTGTCCTGCAATGAAACACAAGGTAACTTGAACTATTTTGTATCACAGTGAAAATGTATATGCCGGTAGTCCCTTTTCCCCTAAACTACTGTATGAACTCGGTAAGCCTTGCACTTGAGCCTATACCCTGCTTGTGACCTCCCCACTGTCTGTAAGACTCTGGGAAGCTGTGGATATGATGTTTCAGCAATACACAAGCCCTGATCATCCTATCCAAATGCAAAAGGTGTTTCTTCCTGTCGCCCAACCCTTGCCAAGGGCACTTGGGCGAAGGCAGGCTCTGAGCAAAGACTGTGGGGATGCTGGGAGGGGAAGAACGTGTCACTTCTGTAATGGGCACCATGGCAGGTGCAAGGCCACTGCTTGATCCATGGGCAGACATGCCGTGCCCCCTCCTTCCTTCCTTCTGTAAATAGTTTTCTCCTTGATTAGTGGTCTGTCTCACCACTTCTGTTTCAATGGCCTAACTTAGAGCAGGGCTACAAATTTGCATCCCTAGAGCCAGCTCAATGTCCTTAATTATATGTGTCTTTATATGTCTAAGGAAAATTTCAGGTTTGAAAATGGATGGAGAGAGGAAAGGCTTCTATATTTGTAGGGCTATGCATTTTTCCCATGTAGTATTTCCTGTAGAGACATCTGGGGCTGATTCTCACTTATGGTAAGGCTGCTTTACATGAATACAAAAGGGAGTTTGAAGCATGAATAATGGTGTTTTCTGCTAAAGCAATGCTGGGGGACTGGCAGAAATGAGAAACCCATCAGGGTCCCGATGTCCGAGTGCAATGGCCCTGTTCTGAGAGGTGATCACTGGAACCACTTCTACCCTCCCTGTATGGGATGCTCAGATGTGCTTTCATGGGAGCCACGTTTGTAACAGTGAAGGAGACATCTCACTTATCTTGGTTTTGAGAGAGGGATAAAAGGGGAGAACTCTCCCCAAAACACAAACTAGTAGAAATTCTGGGCTGTAAAGTGTTTATTCATTGTTCATTACAAGCTTCCTATTGTATCTGGCCCTTTGAGGAGTGTTTGACCATGCAAAAAGTCTTACAATAAGATGTAGCTTAGTCTTGTCCGCTGTTAGTCAAACATCATCTCTTCATGTTCTTCTCAAACATGCTGGGCTTGCTTATAGTACCTGCGCAGATACTTTTTTCCTTTTAGTTTTTTCCATATATAATCTGTGCAAAGGTCACCAGCCACAAATTGTTGCTGTTTTCAGAATATCTGTAATATTTGCCCATTCTGGTAATCTTCCTACAAGAAAGTCACAGTTTAATCTTAACTAGGATGAAGAGGAAACATGACAAAGCTTACACAGCTTTCTCCTTGTTTTTAATGTATTAACCACAGTCTTTTCCATTTCCTCTTCTAAAACAAGGCTGGGAAAGTCATCAAGAAGATGCATTCATTCATTTTAGAAAAGGTTGTCGAATCAGGAAATGAGATGGAAAAGTAATCTATGCTAGATACTTTCTGGTGTTTTTTTTACTATGTAATGTTCTGGGAGATGGTTCCTTTGCTTTGTCACCAGTTCAGTTCTGTCCAAGTCCCAAGCCAGACATCAATATTTAATATGCTTTATAGATGTCAACTGTTTTTGTTGGATCATTTAATTGCCCTTCTATTACGGACACAATATCCTAGCAAATGATGAAAAGTACCTGCTGGCTAAACGAAAATGCCAGATGCAAAGAATTTTTATTCACTTACAAACGTATTGTAAAGAACGACAATACGTCCTTTGATTTTTCTTGTTATTGTCACTTGTTGGCTGAAGAAGTGTTCTTGAGTAAGTCTGCTCCGTGCCTTGTTACTAGATGAGCTGAAAAAAAAGAAAACTGCCAGGGAATTCAGCAGGTCTGATTCTACTCTTCTCATTAATGTAAATCTAGGATACCATCATGGAAATCAGCGTAGTTAGTGGAAAATAAATTTAAGTGAGGACAGAATTGATTGAATATACATGAGAAATATAAGCAGCTGAACTGAGTAGTGGCTGTACTCTTGCTTACTTTTGCCTTTGACTCTGGTGTCCAAAGGGACGTCATTGAAGCAGCCCTGCACACCTGGCTGCAGCACTTGAGGCACAGTGGGATTTGGTCCCACTCACGGTCACTCCTCACTGTCTTCCGTCCCCTGCAGGTCAGAGGGGAGATCCTCATCCCAGGTGACTGCACTGTCATGAGTGACCTGCAGGACTGGGAGACCCCTGTGCTGCTGGAGCCCTGCCAAAGCCTCTTTTCAAGACTGGTCCCTCAGGCCCCAGAGCAAGTGCTGCATGTCTGGGGAAGGACTGCTGAGGGCAAAGCCATGCTGCGCAAGAATCCAGGCTGCCTTGGGGCTGGTGGGCAGCCCAAGGGAGTTGGTGTCCCTGCTGCACCTGAGGTCTCTTAGCACCCTGAATGAGGAAGGTGTGATGGTGACCTGAAACTATCCTAAACTTCTCTTCCAGCTCTCGGATTTCTCACTTTCCTAGAGGTAGATTATTCTTGTACGAAAATAATACTGACTAATCCTCTAAAATTCATTGAGCAATGGTCTGAATCCTAGTGCAACTATACTGGCAGTGTGTCCACCTGTAGTGCAGCTGATTGACCTGTCCCACACAGCAAGGCATGAACTGGAGTCCCCTGTCCAACTAACTGCCCTGCCTCCTCTGCCCTGTTCATGTCGGCACAGCTTTCTGCCTTGGCCCTTCAGGCCTCTGCCACCAGGACCGATGCTGTTGTAGTGCCCGTGTGCTTACTCCATTGCGATGAGGTTAGAAACCAGCAGTAAAATGCTTCAGCACAGCTGCTTGGTGCTTGTGTTGGTCAGGCCAAGTGAACTATGCATGTTGGGGAAGATAACATGGCCCTTCAGGCAGGACATGCGCCGCTGAATTTGAAGAACTGCAATCCTGGTGGTGTTTTTAGACCTCCTTGCAATGCTGACCTCTGTTACCCTGAGGACAGTGTGGCAACATGCTTTACCTGCAGACGGCATTGAAAACAACCCACCACATCTGTTTCACCCCAAGTAGCCTGTGATGCAGCAAGGTATGACAGGTTCATACCTCAAGTTTTCCCACTTCCACTTTTATGTCAGCCTGATACAGTTCTGAATCTTTAAAGACTGAGGTATTTTGGTTACTAGTGGAGTTTTCTCCATGCTGTTTCCCAGATGCAACTTCAATGTTCAGTGATGGGAAGGTCCTGGTTCAAAGACTTCAGGTGAGGAACCAGCAAAGGTCTTCTGTGGTGAAAACACAGCTCAGCCCAGAGGCTGCTGAGAGTGCAGTCTATCTGTCTCTGGATCTTCACATAAGGAAGATGTAAAGCAGTCCTGACTGCAAGGTGCTGGAAGTAAACTGCCTATGCTTCATTCTCCCTGAGAAAGCAAACAGTGTCAGGTTCAGGGTGAGAAACCCTCTTTCTTCAGAGAGAGATTGATGCCCACCTAAGTACATGTGACACTGCTAACTTCCAAGTTAGGCATGCATCTTCTTCCAGATTTAAAAGGGTTTGAAGTTTGTTTGTGTAAAGCTATGGAGCCTGTAAACTAACCTTTCAAAGGTTTGGGGCAAACATACTCTTACAATTTTTCTTCACTTGCATGACGGGTCTGCGAAAAAGGCCCGAAAGGTTATTCCAGTACAAAGTAACACCTAACAGTGGAATTAACTATTCTCTAAAGCAGTCACATTTAACTATAACATCTATAAAATCTTGTCTTAGTATCTGAAAAATGAAAGAAGTATCTTTTCAGTAAATATTCATACTTAGATGATCTCTGAGATCTTCCCAAAGCAGCTGTTTCAACAGCTAGCATTTTCATGCTAGGTTTCCCCCCGCCATGGTTTCTTAGGATTTTTTTCCCTATTCCTGTCACAGGCACACAAATATTTCACCAAAATTCTGTGGCAAAATTCTTGCCCTGAAGTGTGTTCAGTTTTAGATGGTGTTGTGTGGCTGTTTAACATATTGGCAGCTATTGCTTCAGTCATGATGGCACAAAGAAATGAAGTAGTAGTTATGTCTACTTGATTTTCATTGAGGTTAAATCCAAAATACAACCAGAGAATGCTGACCCCTCACTCCCCTCTTGGGCATTTGCTGTTTATTGTAAATATTTGTACATGAAACTCCAAAAGAGCTGAGACATGTCCCTGTGGGATGCCTCTGCAGAAAACAAGTTGAAATCTGTCTCTTTGAAAAGAACATCGTGGACTGCAACTTTTTCCTTGAATACTTGTATATGTGAAAGCAGTAGGTAGCGTTTTGCAGGTACAAATACTGGAGAAAAGAGGATGTGTTTGCCCAGCTTGATTAAACCTCAAGTAAAACAGGAGAACGCGTTTCAGGGTAGCTGCTTACAAGGAGCTGGAGCTGCTGATAAAGCTGCAGCTTAAAGTATTTTACAGTCACCTTAGGATGCTGGAATACTGTCTGCGGTCCCTCGATCTGCATCTCCTGGCCGAGCTGCCGCAGAGGTTTGTCAGGGGGCAGACGGTGAATGCGGGGAGCGATGGCTATCTGTCCTGGCTCCTTGCTTGGAGAGGCAGCCGTGTACCCCGCAACAGCCGGTGCGTGGGGATGGGAAGGCAGGGGCAGCACGTGGGCAGCCTCCGGCTCCACAGCATATCCAGGCTCCCCTCTCAGGCATCAAAACATGTAAGCTTTACTTTCCCATTGCCCCTCCTAATCTATTTTGCGGTAGGCTTTTCTCTGGAAAGGCAAGTCTGAAATGAGCCAACTTAAAGCTGATCTTTAATCATTGAAACAAGGGACTCATGAGTATATCATGTTTAGGCAAAAATGAAGCATTCCTAACCACCCTTCTTGAAGAGAAGACTTGCAAAGTATAAGCTATATTTCTGAGTGTCATTCCAGAGCATGGCTTGACTTGCTCTACGGAGAGACTAAAACCGATCCCCTAAAACTTACTTATTTGTAAGTACTTATTTTACTCCTTCACATACGAAACAGTATCCAGACAACACAAGTTGTCTGGTCGGAAATTTGTAAGTGATTTGCTATTCCTCTCACGGTAAATTCCTACTGTAGCACATTCGGGATTGCACAATTGCAAGCTAAAATAAAAGTGAAAATATGACGAAAGGGAAGCAGACCAAAATAAACCCCTGGTGTGAGATATCATTACCTGTCATTGGGAAAGCAATTCAAGAGTTTCATACAATTGGCTAAAACATTTCCTGAGCTAAATTATGCTGTCAACAAACCACATAAAAGTAATTTAACAAATGTCAGAACATCTTGGGGAAAAAAATAAAACCAAAAAAACCACACACAAAAAAAACCCCAAACATAAGTCAAGGGCAGGATGAAGTTATTGTATAATCTGTCATGAGAACCAGCAAATGGTGAGCTATTTCTAACACTTCGAAAGCATCTTGGGCAGCTATAATCCATCTGGCTAAGCTGAGTTAATTATGCTGGCTGGGGAAAGGGGAAGAAATATTTCCCCCCCCCAATATGATGGGGGAAAAAATTATTTTAAAATAATGTTGTCAGAGTTCCCTTTGAGTTAGCCATGGCATATTTCAGCCTCTGAATGACACCATTGGGTTGCATGCACGTTCAATAATTTTTATTAAAATTAATATTTCTATTAAATTACTAAACATTGTTTTGCCCTTCTATTTTAAATCTCTATATGCAGTGCTATAGCCTGTTATAGAGTTAAAAAAACTTTAAGATAGATGGGTATGCAATATAGTTTAAGAATTGCCAGTGGGAGGGGAAAAAAATCCACATCATTAGAGCATGAAAAAGATGAAGTCTATGCTTGCATACAACTAGGAGATAAAAGACTGGATTGGTTTGCCAAAGAAACCGTTCCTGATTATGCTGAAATCTTTTATGAGAGGTTATCAAAGTACTCCAATAAGGCTATTGCATAGGGACCGCATAACTTAAAAACAAAGCCACATACCAGCTGCAACTACGTGAATTGCTGTTCAGATGTACAGCGTTGTTTGGCTCCCATAATTACCTCCATGTGTGTTCTTCCCCTTACAGGGAACACGGGAAAGCTCAGCTCTTGATGAAAGCAGAATACCAAACAAGATGCCAAACAATCTGGCTTTACAGCTCCGCACAGTACAAACGGAGGGGGAAAGAGCAGGAAGAGGCGCAGGGTCCAAGCTGCGTGCAGGAGAAGCGAAATGCAAAAGAATGAGGTTCCCAGTGGTTCTTGGGACACGGTCAGGAGGTGCAGCTGAGTTAAACGGGAGAACTAAATGACTTCCTATCAGTAGACTATTCCTGGTTTTGTTTTAAAATTAAGCAGGAATATCATCAGGGTGTAGTATAGCACTGTATGCAATTCTTTCAGATGCGTGAGCTCAAGCAGACGATAGAAAACCTATGCTGTAGAGCCTAGTGAGGTGGTAGAAACGTCAGTCCAAATAACTGAGAACTAAAAAAGTTATCATAACATAGCTGGTGGTGTTTGGGAGGATAATCTGTTCGGATTTATGCACTACAGGACAAAAAAAGAAGCCCAATGTAATTTGAAGTGCCACCATCCATCAAGCTTTTTGCATTTACAGCACGTGGAACTACACAGCAACAGCCTGGGAAGGAAGCAAGCTTGTGTTCAGAAACTGCCTGCTACAGCAGTATGGTAGAGAATACAGATGCAAGGTTGCGAAGGGCCAGGCTCTGCTATGGTATATTTATCTGTTATTATCACTGTGGAGAGCAGTTCCTGGGGGAGATGAGGAAGCTACTGAATGAGATGAAACAAGACCACGAGTCTTGCATCCCATGGAGCACCACAGTGTTACTGATAGTGCCTAACTGAAGTCAGCAATTCAGGGGAGAGACTGGCAGCGCAGCCAGCATCTATATCCAGCTGCCAGATTTACCTCAAACTCTGAATGTGCCTCTGCAAAAAGTGCATTTCTGAGAGCAAGAAGGGATCTCAATGGCCCAAAAAGCCACTGAGTGTCCGAGATGATCGCCATGTATCATGGCAACTGTCAGCATTTGGTATATTTTTCACGCATTTGATATCCTGCTTAGAAATAACCGAGTGGTGCCGAGGGCTGGAGGATAACGCAGCCCCTGCGCTGTGTGAACTTCCCTCTGCAACCAGCTCCTGTGCCCGCAGCTAGGAAGCACTGCAGGCTCCTGTTAGTATCATCCATTTAGACCCTTAGGAAAACAAAATGGTTTAAATGATATAATTATGAGGGGTTTTTTCTGTATTATGTTCTTCAGGGAAATACCAGGTGGGAGGATTAGTTAATATTTTAGACTACAGGAGGTAAATCAAGAGAGAGGTGCGTATAGAGTGTGCAAGTTCAGAGTTGCTGCTGGTTAATGGACTGCAGTCACATATCGCAGCATGTGTACATGTAATTGTCTCCCAAACTGGAGACTGAATCCTTAAAGGTTCCCTTGCTACACATTACTTCTTTAAACAAGAGACAGAAATATAATACAGTATTACCAAAGTAGATGATTCATTCTGATATGGTACTTAAAACACGCCAAGGACATTAGCTACAGCTCAGCCAAAAACACCCTGTCTGAAATAAACATTGATCTGATGGAGTCCTGCATTAATTTTTAAAACATAACAGCAGGGGGCAAGGAGGGCCAGGGTTTTTCACTGCAAACTAGCTGCTTCCACAATAGGAGCGAGGTATATTTTCAGTGCCTACTGTTCTTTTTCTAAATAGTTCTCCCCAGAAGCTGTATTTGCAATGGCGAAGTTCTGAAGAATTCTAAGGTTTTTAAGGCTCTTCTTTCAGAATAATTCAGTTTTCAGTAAATAGTCAGGAAAAACACGTCCTGCTTTGCACATTGCGCGTAAGATTGCAGAAATGTGTTTTTTGGGTCATAAGCTAAATTAACATCTGGCTCAATCGATATTTCAGTTCTATTATGTGCATTTGGTCTGAATGTAGCACGTTGCTTATTTTTTGCCCTCAGATTATGCCGTGGCATTTACCCTATATGCATATAGCATGCAACCCATTCCTAACATCTGAATAAACTGATTTTCAGTCATCTGGCGTACTTGTGAGTTCTCCACATTTTTTTATTACTTTGCTTACAACTAATTACTCTGGATACAGCACAGTCTATTTATATGCTTTGTAAACACTCCCTCTTCCAAATGCTTTGTGGTATCATTTTTTTCAGTGTCTTCATGGAAGATTGTCAAACGAGGGAAGCAGCTGAACTGAGAGGCATCGAAAAGAATGGAAAACAAATGCCCTAACATCAACAAGGAAGTGATTGTCCATGTTAGCAAATATTTCTGATAACTAGTCTGTTAAATTATTTACAAATTTGGAGTAATATGTTACCTGCTGCTATGCAAAATGAAGATTTGCTTTTTTTCCTGCCAGACTGCCATATGAACTAACTTCAGTGCATAAAATCCCATAGCACAGAACAAGCAGCTTTCAAGCAGCTTTGGTGCCACTGGGATTCTTCCCACTTCTTGATGATGGCCTCACAGCAGTGATCGGTCTTCTAGTGCTCCTGCAGGAGCCAGCATTTCCTCAAAAGTATCGTTAAGATAGTAAAATGCTCTTTTTTTGCCTAAATAGATGCATGCCTTTGTCCGTATGGATTAATGAATCGTGTCGTACATGCAGAACTGGAGATGGGCACGCTTGCCTGGCTGCTGCTGGCACATGCAATTTCTTCCCAGTTATCAGAAGGAGGTTTCCTATCCCCAAGTTTGCTAAACCAAAGGCCTTTGAAATCTCTTCTGTTCTCCAAAGTGCAGAAAATGGCATTGAGTGAAGGCACAGAGTTGCTGCTGGCTGTCAGAGGCACATGTGAAATATTCCCCTTTCCTGTGACCCAAGTTCCTGACATCTGGAGTTCTTCCACAAAACCCGTGGGCGTATTTGACAGTTACTGGGATTTTGCAAAGGTAAACTGGACCTGGTAGAGATGATGTTGCCAGAAATGAAGGTTCTGCTTATATAAAGAAGTGTGTCACTGAAATATCTAGATGGATTTGAAGACTTTTATGTCTTGGAAAATTTAACACCTTTTGATTGCCAC